CAAAGTCAGCAGAATCGAAAATCAATACATGGAACATTAAATGCCCCAATGAGAATTTTAAGGCTCCTTAATTTTTCGCGAAATTGACTTTTCTGCTAGCTTTAACTTAAGCTAGCAGAACATGAGCGAAAAAGTGGCTAAAATAACGAAAATTGCAATTCCACTTGCACAGACAATAAAGGCTCATGGAAGGCTTTGAAAATAAACCAATTGTGAATTTTGTGGAAATGCGAGAAGCGCGATGCGTGAGTGATGTCGGCCAAGCATGGCAGAAAAATCTCTCAGACAGTGGAAATCAATGTTCCGATAGTGAAGTCATAGTGAATACATTAAAGGCTAATTAAATGCTGAAATGAGAAATTTTAGGCTCCACCAAGTTTCGCGAAAATTGCTATTCTGCTAGCTTCAACCTAAGCCAGCAGAACATGGGCGAAAAAGTGGCTAAAACAAAGAAATCCACATGCACCGACATTGAAGGCCTATTAAAGGCTCTGGAAATACACCAATCGCGAATTTCAGGCTCAATTACTTTTTTGTGAAAATGCGAAAAGTGGCGATATGTGAGTAATGTCGGCAGAGCATTCAGGATGGCGGAAAAACCTGTCAGAGAGTCTAATTAAATGCTGTAATGAGAAATTTTAGGCTCTGCTAGTTTCCGCGAAAATACCTATTCTGCTAGCTTCAACCTAAGCCAGCAGAACAGCAGAACCTAAGCAAAAAAGTGGCTAAACGACAAAAATTGCAATTCCACTTGCACAGACATTCAAGGCTCATTAATGGCTCCGGAAACACACCAATCGCGAATTTCAGACATTACTAAACTTACCAATAATAACCTGGTTAGTTTGGGTTCTTTGCAATTTTAATCAGACTTTTCCAAACTCACTAAATCAAAAAAGTAATTGAGCCTGAAATTTGCGATTGGTGCATTTCCGGAGCCTTTAGCCAGAAATTTAGTTTCACGGACACGCGATTTTTTGAAATAAAATTACTGCCCTATTTTCAATGAAACACCCTGTATATTCTGTCATAGTCAGAAAGCTTGTTTTTTCTACTTTTCAAAAATATATAATTTTTTAAAATTATTTTGAAATTTCTTCCTACAAATTGCATTTTGTTGAAGAGCCTACCATCGACGGGCAAAAAAAAAAATTATAATTACTTTGTGTTCAATACTTTTATTAACTAATTAAAGGTTAAACCCTGGTTAACTAATACATGTTTTGTTGGACATGTCCACCATTCATATCTATACATTTATGTAACCTTAATAATAAGTTGTCAAAAACATTTTTTCTATTTTGGTGTCATATCGAAGTCTTTTCGACACTAAAAGTAGTTTCGAAAAGAAGCTCTTTGTGACACTCCTTTTTTACTTATCGGAGGTTGGTAACCCTGGCTGACTGATGGCCATCGAACTGTCATTCGCGATTTTATAATAGAAGATTTCTATAATTTGGCATGTAGTGTCACCAACCTAAATATATGAAATCGAAATATGAGAATAAAATTTCCAAAAAAAATTTGTTTTTTCTCAATCAAGCAATACCAAAGTAGAAAAAATAGTATAAAATATTCGTTTCATAAGACATTTTATCGCACTCGCCCTTTAGAAAACTCGCCTCCGGCTCGTTTTCTAATATAGGGCTCGTGCGTTAAAATTACGTCTTATGAAACTTGTATTTTAATGTACTATTCTAACATAGCCTGCGGAATATTTTCGATGACGTTTCGTATGTTCAGCATCAATTCCCGCAAGGTGTGAGGCATAGGGTTATAACATCGTTTTTTTACATAACCCCATAGAAAAAAATCGGGAACAGTTAAATCAGGTGAATATGGTGGCCATTCTATGGGGCCTGCTCTACCTATCAATCGCCCAGGAAATTTGGTATTGACCCACTCTCGAGCAATTAATGAATAGTGAGGGGAGCTCCATCCTGTTGAAAAAATACCTCTTCTCCAATTCCATCCTGTCCAATTTGCGGATAAAAGAAATTTTCTAGCATATGCGCATAATTATCCCCTGGCATAACATTTTCCCTAAAGAAAAATGGCCCATAAATTTTTGTTGCAGTTACCCCACACCAAACAGAAAGTTTTGGTGAATCCCGTTCAAATTCGTTGAAAACACGGGGATTTGCATCCCCCCAAATGCGGCAGTTGTGTTTATTAACTTTTCCGTTTATATGAAAAATAGCTCCATCTGACAAAATTAATTTCGTATGGGCTGCTCTCGGAAAAGGTCTAAAATCACTTCACACAAATGTACTCGTTTTTCGAAACAAGGTTCCGGAATCTTTTGAAAAGTTTGTATTTTATACGCCTTTAGATTAGGAGTTTTCAGTAGTTGGTGAACTTTGCTTTTCGACATTTCTGCCATGCTTGCAATTTTTCGTGCTGAAATCTGGTTATTATTCCTGTTCAAACATTCTTCGACCACAAGTAAATCATCTAGACTATGGAGATGCGCATCTAATCTAGGTTTTCGTTTGAGCGACCCGTTTTGATTGAATTTTTGCACCCACGACAAACTCGTATTTCGTGAAGGTGGGATTTTATGAAAATTCGCCACAAATTGTCTTCTGGTTCTCGTTATAGATTTGCACTCCATGTATAGAGTTACTGCGCGTATTTTTTCTTGTAGAATAAACATTTTTTTTTTAATTCAAAAATTTCAAAAAATTCTTGTGAAAGTTGAACTTGACATTATTATTCACAGATTATTATTTTTCTAGTTGCTATGGTAAAAAGAAGGACTAGATTTAAGTGTGCTTCACATCTGTGCATTTTTCCGCGTATTTCCACATGAAGAAAATGTAAAACAGCTGATCTCCTGAAGACATTCATGAATTTATACATGTAGAAATACATGAATTTATACACAGAAAACTAGACGAATGTTAAACCCGCCTAATACCAGTATTAAGCACAAATTAATAATCTTGTTTTTTTTTTGGCCAGTCGATGGTACCCTCTTCAACAAAGTGCAATTTTTAGGATACAATTTCAAGATAATTTAAAAAAATTATATATTTTTGTAAAATCAGGCTTTCTGACGATGACAAAATACACAGGGTGTTTCATTGAAAATAAGGCAGTAATTTTATTTCAAAAAATCACATGTCCGCGAAACAAATTTTCAGCAAATTACAGGATTTGGCAATACTGTGAAAAAAAACTTTAAAAAATCCTGACTCTCCCAGAACAAACCGCATCTCGTTACCTTTTCTCCTTTTCGAGATATTTACCTGCAAAATGTGTCAGTTTATCTAAGGACACCCTGTAGTGTGGACGAATTTTATAATGATTTTAATTGACATGTAGCATTCTGCATATTTTGTTTTTTGTATTTTATTTTATTGTTTATATATTGTTAAAACCTAGTCATGTATTTTTGTTTTGTTCTATTTTATATTCTATAATTTACACATTAGGTTTAAGTTTTACAGCTCTATTCACCATTTTGTTTGTTAGTCCTGATTTTTTATTTTTAAATTTTAATTTTGATTATTGATGATTTTTGTTTATAATGTATATGCTTTGTCAACAAGACTATTGTCTTATAAGATAATAAAGCTTATTTTGATTTGATTTGATATCTGTGACTCAAGTAAGGCATTCGACTGTGTATCCCATGAACTCTTGCTGAGCAAGCTGCTATGCTATAATTTTAGCATAGAGGGTATAAAACTTGTTACTCGGGTCGTCCCGCCTTTCTTTTTTATTGGGTTTTCAGAATGCCTGAATACAATATAAAATGTATGTAACAATAATAATCAAGAAAAATACACCCTTTTTGATGTGAGTCGAGAATATTTCTATGCGAATATTCGCGAACATTGAGAAATTTCCGAGAATATTCGCCTATAAAAAATGGAAATGTTCTCCTGAATGAGAACATTCCCAGAAACTTTCAATCAAAAACTCGCAAAAGAATATTTTCAAGAATATTTCCAAGAACTTCCCAGAAGAATTTTGTAAAAATGAGAGATTATTGCGAATACAAGGTCTCAGTGACATCTTTTCACTTTATGTGGATGATGTAGCCAAGTTTTACTGTCTTTACGGAAACGCTGATCCGATTTACCCAATCACCAGCTGATGTACCTACAGCCTACAGTTGTCTTTTTTTAAAATAATCTTCACTGAAGAAAGATAAAAAATAAAGCACTGAGAGATTGGGTTAATTGGCTCAGCTTTTCCTTTAAAGCCTCATTCAACTGTACATAAAAGTGTTTTTACTACATAGTTTAATATTTAGCTGATCTTACAGAAAAAAATAGGTATTTTCTTGGTTTATAGTCTATAGTCAGTACACTATAATAATAGGAAAATAAAGCTTACTACGATTTGTCTGATTTAGCTATAAATTTTTTAAAAAAAAACAATATTTCCATAAGTTCCCAAAAGTTTCCAATATTCCCGAGAAGTTTCCAAGAATGTTTGCGGCTTTTGAATGTTTCGGGAATTTTACATCACTACTCAGGGACTCCAAAGGTGTAAGTAAATGAAGAATTGAGGAAGGTGCAGTTTCTTGGATTTTACATTGACCCCCTTCTTAGATAGGATGCTCAAATTGATCAAGGTTTCATAATTTCTACCAAAATTTCATACCATGATATTTCACTCTGTTGCGACTTGGTTTGGGGTCACTCCGCCCTTGTGTTCTAGACTATTTGGGCTTCAGAGAAGGGCTATCCGAATTATGGCGGGGTTGGATTTCAGGGAAGAATGTAGACAGGCCTTTAAAAGTTTAAATATACTCACTTTATACCATCTCACTACATACTTGAAAATCTGTTGTATTTGACAAAAAAAAAAATATATAAAACTAACTACCTAGTAACATTCAGCCCCGGAAATACCAGATAAAAAAACCCGATGAATTCACTCAACAGTACCCTACCTCTCAGTGAAGTCTATAACCTCTGGTTGAATATTATAATGTTAACTGAATGTTAATGATGTGTTTAAGGATCAGGTTGTTGAATTATTACCTGTAAAATATCCAAATACAATGCCATAGACGGCTGATCCAAACAATCCAGAAACAACAGATGCAACCACTGAATAAGTTTTACATCATAAAAAATGCTGGCAAATAATCGTCTGACTCTTTGGACTGCTTTATCGATTAGAGTCCTACGTAATACAGGCTCATTTTTTCTGCCAGAATATGCCAATTTCCCCAAACAAAAACTATTCAAAATATCGACAAAACCATTAAAGAGTTTGTGTTTCTCTTTAGTCCAATTTATCCTACAATTCATCACTTGTATTATTTTAAAAAAAAATATATATATAGCTAGGTACTTACTTATTTACTCTTCCTTCCCAATTCTCATCAACTCTCGGCTTAGCCAAAGTAGCACGTTTCTCACATTCTTTCATCAAACTTAAAGCCTTCTCGACATCGTAAATAGGCCCAGATGAAGTCTCGCAAGTCACTACATCAATTTCATCAGCTCTACTCGGAGAACCACTAGTGGAAAATAATGGCTTTGAAATAGTCTTGGACGCAAAAAGAACCTTTGAAGGTTTTAAAAATGAAGACTGGGGCCTCCAATCCCAAGGTCTCGCATAGCAATGGTCCGTGGACACTGTCCAATTGTCACGTTCATACGGGTTGGTCATTTTCATGGGGTAAGTGTATTTAGATCGTTCCATTTCCCTTTCGACAACCATATTTTTGGTGGGAAGGGTTTCTAGTTGGAAATAGTTGGGACTGTTTGGAGGAGCAGGAGGGGTTTGCTAGAGAATCAAAAGAATTAGTAATATTAGGGATGAGGTTAGAGGAATACCTGGAAAGAGAAATTTCTCTGGTAAACTTTAGGCAGCAAGGACATAATTTACTTGATAATTATTATAGGTTATGCTTGAGGTTGTAGGTTGTTTACCAAAAAGTGAAAGGTTTGTTGAGATATATAATTTCAAAGCAACGATTGTTGGGATGGAAAAACAACAGGTTCAACAAGGTTCTTTTGTTTTGCGGTGACTTATTTTGTACCTCAAGGTTTTGTACAAACTAATAATTAAATCGCACTACCACTACCACAATTCACAAACACAACAAACAAAACACAACAAAAGTCACAAAAGAAAGCACAAGAGAGCACGGCCACAAGCGACACGACAAGCAGCTAGTGGTAGAGAGAATAAACTATCGATAGTAAGCTATCGATTGTTCCAACAGGTATCGATACTAGTACACACTTCCCAAGGATATTAACTACACAGGATACCGATAGCCTATCCTCATAGGGCCTGTGTGTGTAGTCCATATCTCAAGTCCTCCTTTCAAAGTACCAGTGATGACGTAGCAGCGTGCCATTTCAAAGAAGGTTTGGAATGGGCTTTGCGTCATTCAATTGATTCCAGAATGAGATAGCGCTAGTAAGGGCAAAAAATCTATTGGATCTCATGTCTTTTAATCTCCTACATCTCTCACTCTAACCCTGGGGTCGTATTTTCGAATATTTTCGCATACGAAATTTGATACGATTTCGAATGCTCTCTATTTATTTACATTAGTTGTAATCCTTTCAAAATTTTGAAACACTCGAGCTACTCGCATCGGTGCTCAGTCGCCCCCAATTTGCAGGGAATAGATGCGTGGTGCAACAAACGCTTTTCGAAAGGAATAAGCGCGTGAAGCCCCGGAGCTGTTCCGGAGCTCCTCCTAGGTGTGAAAGGAATACAGCTATTGCTGTCAGTCAAATTTCGTGTACGAAATGTACTCGAATGGTTTTGAAAATCGCACCCCTGAGAGATAGCGCTAGTAAGGGCCGGTTTCTCAATAGCGAGTCACCTCCGGGTTGGTTTTAACTCCAGGGTAAGCGTGTCCAGTTGCTATGTTTACCTTGGAGTTATGCCTAACCCGGGGGTGATCTGATATTGAAAAACCGGCCCTAAGGGCAAGAAAATCTCACGGATCTCTCGATCTCTCCTGATCTCTCACTCTAATGTTGGCTGCAAATATATGTATTGAGTAGATAGGCAAAGGGCTATTCCAACCTTCTTATCATCTTCTTACTACTTCATTTTTTGACGTAGGACGTGTTCAAGGATAATACACACTACTTAGGGTGGGTATTATAAAACTATGATGGCCGTTTAGGGGAGCCTTAACGATAAGTATTCCCTAAATAACTGACATTTCTCCATGTAAAAATAGAGAGATATCGGTAACCCAAATAGTGTCATAGTGTCATGCAGTATAAGCGCCTACGTTATTTTGACATTTAACCTATGCGCGATTCGATTTTTAACACTACGTACCAAAAAACGTTACCGCATAACGATTAGAGAGTTCTCGTGTTGTCCAAATTTCAAATACCGTAACGTTATTTGACAAGTAAGACAGTTCTTACGAATCTTATGGTATTAGCGTTAGCGGAGCCCGTTACCTAACGGGAGTTAGCGGATGCCTTACCGTAACGCTATGCTATGAAAAATTAGTTTAAGCTCCATTTACGTCTGCAAAACACCAAGTTCTAATAATTCCTCCATAAAAAACACCAAGGGTAAATTAATGAAACTTAAATTATCTTAAATCACCCAATTCAGCTGTCAAAATGTAAACAGAATAAGGGATTAGAGGATTTTTGTGTCTTCGTGTTCGAGAACTATAAAATACCATTTAAAATACTGTATTGTTAGCGGTACCGTATTAGGCGTAGCGTCTGAGGCACGAGAACTCTCTAATTTACCCAGCATTTACGTTAAGCGCTATTTCGAATAACGCCTAGAAATAACGCAGTGGAATAATATAGGTTATGTTATGTTTATTGTTTTGTCTTAGATTTTGTTTATTTTATTATTTTTGTTGTGTTCAAGTGAATATGGATTGTTCAAAAAATATTAAAAAAGCAAATCCTCTGTCCCTGATCATAAACAACAGACAACACAAATCAAATCACAACAAGGTACAAGTTAGGCTACGGTTATAAAATAACGGATGCGAACAGGCAAATTTTACGGTAAACTGTTTTCCGATAACTCTAATTTGAAAGTATGACACCGCTTTACTTTAAGAAAATAACTCCTGACGCTATTACCGTCCATACGTGCTATCTGCTGATTCACCGATATCTCTCTAATGTCATTTTAGGAAATACTTATCGATAAGGCTTCCCTAAAATAGCAAATGGCCGTTTCCACCAACTATTTTAGGGGAGCCCTAACGATAAGTATTCCCTAAAATGACATTTTTACATGGAGAAATGTCAGTTTAAGGCACACCTGTTAGGACTTCCCTGAAATAGTTGGTGGAAATGGCCATAAGACAGTTAACTTCTGGAATGACGTTACTTCCCATAGTAATTCCATAAATGCGTTCGAAAAAGGGTTAAATTTTACCCAAGGGTGAGAGTGGGTATATATGGTCACGTCGTCAGAGGCCACACATGGGCCAAAAAACACAAAAAAATATCTAGTTTCTGCCCGAATTAATAGTTTAGGTACCTAGTCAACAAATATTTTATTAAATAATAAAAATCAAAGTTGTAAGCAAAACTGTATGCAAAATAATTTAAAATACGCAAAAAAACATATTCAAAACAAACTTGCTTGGCCGCCACGCCACATTGAATTTTCCCATTTGACAGATGGATTGAATTGCCTAATACCAATTCATTTTCGAACGGCTGGAGTGCGTTTAGAAATGGAGTCTGAAAGTAGAGTAGTTGTTTGTCAGAGTGTTCTGACGTCATCACTTGGAGTGCACTCTGGGGGCCAATTTTTGGGAATATACGTTTATTTGCGTATACTTAAAGATGCGCACGATATGAAACGTGAACTTTTTTTTTGTACCAATTTTTGGATGCGCTATTTCTGAATGTAGTGGGGCGGTGCGGTGAATGTCAAGAAAAATTGTCAATGCTTTCGATTTTTTTATGCATAGAAAAGGCTTGTGTTGCCAACATAGTTACTAAATTTTTGACTTGGGGAATTATCTTTAAATAAAAAACAGACTTTATGAGTTGGGGATGACTGTTCTAAGCTCCAAATGTCTGAGTGCAACCTGCAACACTCAACACTATCGATTAGTCCAGACTTCCGATGCGTTCAGGTTTTGTCTTGAGCTGATGATTAAGACATTCGAGTTTGAATGTTTTAAACCTTTCTAGAACCGTCCTTTTTTCAAATCCGAACAGGCCCATCTGAGAGGTCATAGTTTACCTTCTATTTCACCTATTCGCGGTTTTCCTTTTTTGTTTATAGGCGTTCCAGTGCTTCAGAGTTTCACGCAACTGAACTGTTCGTTTTTCCTTTCCCCTGCCCTCTCAAGAACCTATCCATGGTTTGTTATTTTGATCTGAGTTCTACGAGCTTGAATTCACCGTTCGTTTATTTAAAAAGTGTACTCGGTGCAGGCGTTTGTTTATTTAAAATTTCGGGCACTCGAATACAGCGTTCAACTGCTCTGTTCCCTCGCTGGTCACGGGATTATACGGTTCCGCTCAGCACGCTCTGCTCCTTGAGCGAAATACCGAATGCAAGGTATGTAATGCTCACGACTGTACCATCGTCACCAAAAGTATCTGGGACACAATTAATGCATGTCATGAATCACGTGAAACCCGGTAAAAACCAATAGTTCTTTTCACGTGGCTCCGGTTTAACTAACCGGGTTACAAAACGGTTAGAGAAATGACATACCTTTTTCTAACCCGGTTACAAAGTGATGTGGACGTGATGGATACCTACCACTCGAATTTGAGCGGTATGTTACGGTTTGTTAAACCGGAGTCACGTGAAAAGGGTTAATGTAAAAAGCGCGGGGCGTTTTTCAACCCAGTCCCTGAGTGGGGTAATTAGGCAATTCAATCCATCTGTCAAAATGGAAAATTCAATATGGCGTGGCGGCCAAGCAAGTTTGTTTTGATTATGTTTTTATGCTTATTTTAAATTATTTTGCTTAGCGTTTGGTTTGCAACTTTGATTTTGATTATTTAATAAAATATTTGTTGACTAGGTACCTGAACTATTAAATCGGGCAGAAACTATATATTTTTTTGTGTTTTTTGGCTCACGTGTGGCCGCCACGCCATCTTGATTTTCACGTGGTTTGAATTGTCTAGTAGACGCACTCAGCGTACTAGAATTTTTTGAAAAATGTACTAAATTTCGAGAAATGTACTAGATTTCTTTTTATGATGAGGTTGGATTCAAAAAATAATACAAATGGTAACATAAAGCCTTTTCGGAAAAGCTAATCCGATTAACCCGATCATCAGCAGTCTTTCATCTCTTTTTAATAAATACGATTTAAAAAAGACACAAAACATCAACTGGGTTTATCGGATGAACGTTTCCGAAAAGGCCTATAGTATATTTTGGAATAATATACACACATTTTTATAAACACGGTTTTTGGAGCGTTGTTATAAAAGACGTTTTCGTTCTTTGTTCAGAAAAAAAAAAGAAAAGAGAGGCAAATATAGCCGAAGCTCGTAATTGTGAACGCGCCCTCGAAACATTTAGGGTTCGAGACGGTATTGATAGCGATACCAAAATCATAAAAACCGAAAAATGTGTCGAAATTTTTAAAAAAAGGTACCAGATTTGAAGTCAAACGTACTAACGTACCAGATTCTTTGAAAAGGTACTAGATCTAGTACAATTGTACTAGACTGGCAACGCTGGTGTCGCTTCTCGCCTTGACGTAGGGTGTTCGCACCATGTAGTAAAAACGAATGTTAATTAATTAATCAACATTCTAAAAATGTTAATCAAAATTAAATAATATTTTTCATCATAAATGTATAATCTAAACTACGACCGCTGGCGCAAACAGCTGACGACGTAGTTGATGACGTCGTCAATGGCACTACACAATATGGCCGTGATTCTCAAAAACGAGGCGCATAAGCATTCCTGTGCAGTAGTGTGTAGTATGTAAACAACCTTGACCACAGGCTATCATTCCGTTGGCTTTTGCCTAAACAGACATGATTTTAGTACCGCTGGTGCAAACAGCTGTCGGAGAGTCTACAGCAACTGTGCAACGCCTGACCAACACCCAAGAATCGATTAGTAACAGTATTTCCCATCGTCATAAAACATACGTTCGTCAAATCTCGAGTCGGCAAGGTCTGGGAGTGACGT